GTGGTCGTGGTGGTGCTGCTGCTGCTTCTGGTGCTGGTGCTGGTGCTGGTGCTGGCTGTTGTTGTTGTTGCTGCTGCTGTTGTTGATGTTGTTGTTGTTGTTGTTGTTGTTGGTGGTGGTGGTGGTGGTGGTGGTGGTGGTGGTGTTGTTGTTGTTGTTGATGTTGGTGGTGTTGTTGGTGGTGGTGGTGTTGTAGTTGTTGTTGTTGTTGTTGTTGTTGATGATGTTGTTGTTTGTTGTTGATTGTCGTTCGTGGTTATGATCTGTTTTTTATTTAACCTTTACAGACGGCTAATTCTGAAGGTGAATCTTTAATTACTACATTCATGTGTAGATTAGATATTCAGAATAGATTATTTCCGATATCATTTCTCATCAAAAATCGCCAGTATAGCCCTTATGCGACACGTAGTCTACATTACCTATCTGCGACTGTTCCAAATACAACACAGCCTGTCAAATATCCAGCAAAATAGAGCATCTGGGCCGTTGCAACCAGCCAACTCTTTCCACACACCAAATCCCACTGTAAAAATGCACTGTGAAATATTCCGCCGACGATGAAGCATGGTGCCTTGGTTGATTCTGGAAAGTATCGGCGTAAGAGACGCTCTACCTGAGGCTTGAGTGGATGGATGGAAGAGGAAAGAAGTAGACAAGAAGTCATAGAAGACAGGGAGAAAAGATTGTGCTAGCGTTTAAGCTCCAACAGAGATCAATGGAAGTTACAAGAATAACTTTTGTGCTATTTCCGCATAACGAATTTAAGTGAATTCCATTGGTTTAAGTGGATGGAAGGAAGAGGAATTCCTTCTGGAAAGTATAGGAGTGAAAGACGCTCTATCTGAGGTTTGAGTGGAGCGATGGAAGAGGAATTCATTCTGGAAAGTATAGGACAAGGAGGTATAGGAGTAAAGATGGTAATAGCGTTGAAGCTCCAACAGAGATCAATGGAAGTTACATGAATAACGTTTGTGCAGTTTTAGACGGCAAATTCCGCCAACGAATTTAAGTGAATTTGACGAAGTTTAAATGGATGGATGGAAGAGAAATTCTTTCTGGAAAGTATGGGATTTAGAGATTCCCTGCCTGAGGTGAAAGTGGAACGATGAAAGGGAAAAGGGATGGACACACGGACGTTTGGAGTGCTGACATAAGTAAGTAAGGCCAAAACAAAATATATGTGTGGTTACCGTTACATGCCGAAAAAAAATAGGGTAGGTAGGTGGGGAAAACATTTTATTTTCTTGAAATATTTTATTTACGAACCATGTCCGAAGGATGTGCGTTGTGCCTTTTGAAGCAGGAACTGACCAACTCTTTTTTTTTACTTTAAAGAAAATTGACAATTAAAATGGTTAGGGTCGCTGGGAATAAATAGGGTCGGTCGCGAAACCGTAACCACACCTATATTTTGTTTTGGCTTAAGTAAGGACGCGCGTGCGGTTAGGGTGACATGAATGTCGGAAATGAGTGAGTTACCTAAAGTCACACTGTAACTCGATTGAAAGCGTGTAGAGGGAGGAAGAGCGCGGCGAAGAAAAATTTGGACGGTGGGTTGGGGGTTGGGGTGAGAGAGAAGAAGAGATGGAGAAAGCAGAGGAGATAAAATGAGTAGGCGTATGATAAGTAAAGGAAAGAGAAGTGGAAGAATCGGAAGGAGTGGAAGTATAACAGATAGCACTGTAAAAGAGAAAATATTAGAATGATCAGTAGAAGTAGTAGTAAAAGTAGTATAATAATAATAATAATAAGGAGAAGAAAAAGACGACGACAACGACGATGATGACAAAGACGAAGAAGAAAAAGAAGGAGAAGAAGAAGAAGAAGACGACAACGACGATGATGACAAAGACGAAGAAGAAAAAGAAGAAGGAGAAGAAGAAGACGAAGAAGAAGTAGAAGAAGAATCAGACAAAGAAGAAGATGAAGAAGACGAAGAAGAAGTAGAAGAAGAATCAGACAAAGAAG